TGCTCAACGATCGTTATAAAGATAAATTATAAAAAATACCAGACAAGAAGATTTTTTTAACTTTATTTATCATTCATCACTACAGGACTTTTCCAAATCCACTGCTGAACATCGGTCTCCCCGCCAGTAATGCCACAAAGCACAGTACTGTGCTTCCCGCTAACCGTAGAGCATGCGGCTCACCTGATTTTGATTACCGTACAACAACAATGTGCGAATGCGATGGTGAAATTTAGCGGCTGGAATTAGTCCGAACAATTGCTCTGAGTACTCCCCGTTGTATATGCGATAGAATATGCAAAGAGATGCAACATTCCTTCGCAGCACCAGTGAATCAAGCCGATTTTGGTTTTTTTTTTATAGGATAAGGGTGACCAAACGAGCACAGAGTCCACCTGATGGTAAGTGGTTGCTGTGGCCCATAGACATCTACATCTATCCTCGTTTGCCTAAAGAGTCGCTGCGACAAAAATTTAAGGAAATTAATATATTAACTTTGACCTCTCAATACATTTATGAAAATGTAATGTACGTACACAAAAATAAAAGTAGTTTTACAAAAATAAGTGATATTCATTCTGTAAATACTAGGAACAGACACAAGCTAGTAGTACCAGTTACTCGACTAAACCGAGTCAGTAATTCATTCTTGGGGCGATATATACGCTTTAACAACAAAATTCCAGAAAATATACAAAATATGACCTGCTCAAAGTTCAAAAACTTTATTAAACTAAGTTTGTATAAAAAGGGTTATTATAATATTAAAGAATTTATAGATGATAATAACTCCTGGAAATGAGGTGATCGCTACCAAGCTATTTCTAATTTGTTGTGTTGTTAATTTGTGTAACATACATGATTGTAAGCCGTTATTTAAAAAAAAGTCCCGCTGGGTTTCTTGCTGGTTCTTCCCAGGACAGAGGTTTTTTTTCGAACCAGTGGTAATTATACAAAAGAGTGACTTTCAATAAGTATTATTTATATCTATCCTCGATTACGAATCAAAATGCAGATGCGTTGTCACTCGTGAGGACTAAGATGCAATGCCTCTTTTCCAGTAAAAAGGGTCTCCAGTTCTCTACACTCACCATACGAAACACAGCAGTGTTAAGCTGCTATTTTACGCGTTTCGTTGTATTGTGCAAATGTATCAGTATCGATCATAAATAGAGTTCTTAAATAATCGAAATCGGTTCATCCAGGAAAAAGCTATGAGGTAAAGACACATAAAAAAAGTCGGTAGAAAACAAATCCATCCTATAACGTAAAACGCCCAAGTCCGGTGGGCTTTGACCGACAGATAAAAAATAAATCTAACATAATTAATTTTAAAAAAAGTATGGAAGAAAAGTTTTTATTATTTTAAGGAACCCTAAAAACTTTATCAATTCTTTTTGTATAAATTGCCATTTAGGAACCTCACTGATAACGCTTGTATAACAGCTTCATTAATACACAGAAATTGCCTTTTATAAACATAAATACGAATTTATGATATACCAAGCATGCAATATGGATAGAAATATTGATAAGGATTTTACTCTGTGTATTTTGTATAGAGTTTTTCAATAAGGACGGGTAGATAAAAGTTACAGGCAAGGAAGTGTCCGCCGCGCTGCCCCAATGCATGTTGACGAACTTCAACATGGCTTCGAAATATTTTTTTCTCATTTCTCAGACATGCAGGTTTCCTCACAATGTTTTCCTTTACCGCCGAGCACGTGGTAAATCAGCACTTAAAATTGCAATTAACAATTTCATTGGTGCCGCCGGGGATCGAACCCGGGTTGCTCGCGTAGGGGAGTGCGGGGTTAAAAGTTCCCGGGGTAAATTATTCCGATTGAAATAGCTCCGTGAGAAAATAAGATAAAAATATGTAGTAAATTCGTCGTGAAACTGAACGTTGCAGTGCACGACATCCATCGCAGAGCGGCTCGAATCGTCGACGACCAAGTCTTTTCCGAACGGCTCGACTCATTGGCGCTGCGAAGAGATGTTGCATCCATTTGCATTTTCTTTCGCATTTACCACGGGGAGTGCTCTGAGGAATTGTTCGGATTAATCCCAGCTCCAAATTTCATGAACGCACATCGCAGCAGAACGCCCGATACCATCCACACCATCTGGATGATTGGCGGTCCACCACTGTGCGATTTAGAACATGTTTTCTTCCTCGCACAACTTCCTTGTGGAATCGATTACCACCACCGATTTTTCCGGACCGATACGACTTAGGGACCTTCCAGATAAGAGCCTACACCTTTTTAAAAGGCCGGCAACGCATCTGCAATTCCCCTGGTTCCCCTGGTGTTGCCGTTGTTCATAGGCGGCGGTAGTCACTTACCATCAGGTGAGCCGCATGCTCATTTGCCCCCTCTCCTATAAAAGAAGTTAAAAACAACCATTTTGTCATTAGTTAAGCTACTTAGCACCATACACATAAGTATTTAGCTAAATTACCATGTTTTATTAGATTAATCAGTATTGATATTATTTCTGGCAGACCATGCAATAACCAACCATTTAAGTACATAATTTAAAATTAAAAATTTTGTACAGCCGACTTCAATATAAGTTATTTAAGAATAACTTAAAAACTATTGGTCTGACCTTGATCAAATTCATATGGGACCACACGAGAAGTACCAGCTTTCAAATAAAAAAAGAATCATCGAAATCGGTTCACCCAGAAAAAAATTCTGAGGTAACACACATAAAAAAAAAAAACGAAAAAAAAAAAAACATACAGTCGAATTGAGTACCGGCTCCTTTTTGGAAGTCGGCAGAAAAGTACCTGTGGCCTTTCTTTTGCCTATTCTTTTCTGCAGGGTTAGCCATGATGACTTTTTGTATGATAGTTAATACTATAAAAATTAATGGGAATGACATATATAAACATTAAGCCATGTGATCATGTTGCCTCTTATAACACCCAAGGGACAAAATGGTCTAGTTGATAGTAAATCTGACAATATTTTGCATGATGTATGTATGCAAATATTTACAACATGTAAGAATAAAGCCTTGTTCTCTGCCTAAAAAAAAAGTAAAAGTTAATTATATTCTACAGCATCTTCTTTAGCCCATTGCCTACCCACTTCAACGCCCATACTGCCACCACAAGGAAACAAACAGATAATGAGATAGCATACGTCAATGTCAAACAGCAGTGTTTGCACATACAAATAAACAAGTTGTAATCAGTTTGATCATATATTTATGAAGGTTTACCATACATAACTACACACATATGAGGCATGTCAGATTACAGAGGATTAGACCGGGACCGGATTACCACAGGTTGACTGTATTCTTTTATTACTAAAAACAACAAACTTATTTTCTACACATAAAGTTGGCACTTGCTTGAATTTTAACACTAAACCTTCTATTGAAGTAGCATATTGATATCTAGGCCACAAGGCCAGTGGAGGTTGTTATATATACTTCAGTGAAAGAAAATAAATTATTTTGTTATATGTCTTCAACAAAAAGTTTAAGAAACCTATGTCACAAATACTTAAGTGTTTGTTCATGCACAGGAGTTCACATATAGGGCAATATCAAGTATAGTGACTGCACCAAATGGTACTAAGGGGGAATATATACAAACGGTAAAAGCTGGGATAGGGAGTATATTATAAAAATTACAATAATCTATTCAACTATCAACTATGGACAAAATATTCAATGGATGTGTTACTTTTAATTGTGTCTGCTTATCTTTCAGTAATAATAATCAATTTACTGATAATGAGTTATCTGAAACTGCTAAACTGGTTTTGAAGGACTTTATATTAACTACCCCTTAATATTGAAATGGGAGTGGATACAACCCTTGAAAAAATACATATATTTTTTTGAAAATTCGTAACTGATGAGCAATTTGAAGCTTTTTAGTACATTTTTTTAAAATAGAAGAGGAAAAGGGGAAGTATCACTGTATGCTCTAACCCTATCTTAAAAATGCATTTTTATTGAAATTCGAAATTTCTGTCAAAATATTTGAGCAAATCTGCAGTCGGAAACACTTTTATTATTGGTGAAAGCCAATTTTAAGACAAATAGCTTTCTTCTTCTTTCCTAAGCTTAGTAAGATGAACCAAATATTTGTGGCTTTGGGATGGCCCAAGGGCAACACCAACCACACCTCAATCTACTGATGCAGTTATTACTTTTCCCAACTGCCAGCTAACATTGTTTTTAAATAGATTGGCAATAAACATTTTCTTTATAGCTAAGGGTGACAAACGAGCACACAATTCACCTGATGGTAAGTGAATGCTGTGGCCCATAGACATCTACATCTATCCTCAATTATGAATCAAAAAGCAGATGTGTTATCACCCGTGAGGACTAAGATGGAATGCCTCGTGTCCAGTAAAAAGGATTCTCTACACTATCATACGAAACAAAGCAGTTAAGCTGCTATTTTATGGTGTAATTCTATGAGAGCGTGATCCTTCCCCGGTTGAGCCCACCCATTTGTGCTACTAAACCAGTAATATAGCTGCAGCATGGCTCTACAATTTAAAAACACATTTTATACAATATCAAACACTTTCAATTTTACTAAATATTTCTGGCCAAGTGATTTTATCTACAACTCTTGGTCATAATTACTTTTAACCAATATATTTCATACAAAATCTCTTTTTATCACCATTTTTTAGTTAAAACTATTTCTGCCTAATTTTCTTTGGTGAGTATTTCTCACAATAGGTGGTACGGGAAAGTAGACCGACCACCTAGAGAAAAAGATTGTTGTATGTGTGTTGAATTATAAGTATGGATGAATTATCCTCTTGTATTATTTATCAATAATTTACCATCTCATAAATAATAATTTATTGTGCACCAACCGGTGTTTTGTGCATAGCTCTTGGGTCAGACTCGATCAGAAATATTTAAATGGCAATAACACTAAATCGGTAATGATAACGGTGATTATTATTATTTAAAAACAAAATACTAATGAAAACAAACAAAAATCTTACTGGTTTACTGGGGTAAACTTCCGACAAATGTCCCTTCAATTGTAATATGGTCCAAGAGGATTGACATTCAATGTTTTGGTCTTCTATTTGCTGATTCGGGGCCTTCACAATCAGAGTCACGTTATCTGGTATCATTTTCAATCATACAATCGTCACAGGTCGTTAGATAATAGCTTTCGTTAGATAATTTGTGGTAAATGGTACTTTAATTTAATTTTAACCTTCGTTAAAAACCGTAAGCAGGTAAATTCAACGTATTTTAAAAACTCAAGCTGATGAAATACTAAATTGGTTGTTTTGTATGATCAAACTGAATTGGATTGTAAATACGTAAATAAATATTTCGTAAGCTATTGTGGGGTAAAGAGACCCCGTACCCGTACTTGTCAATTTGCTCTTGAAATTATTTGTCGCGATTTCATTGGTCCAGCACTGTTTTGACGTTTGATTAAATCACTAAGTTTTTTGTCTACTCAAGTTTCCTTCAATGTGATTCGTCATAATTATTTTACGAGATAGATAATTTGTTATATAAAAAATAGCCAATCAGAAGATTAGATTTTAATTTGTTTAATTTTTTTTGCATTAGTTGTGGCATTGGCTATTAAGTTCTTCAGCCAGAAAGTACATCACACGCCTTATTACTCTGTTAAAGAAGAAAATAAATAATGATTACTATATGGCTCACTTGATTTTGATTGAGCACCACCCCCATGAACATGAACATCTACAATAAATAAGGATTGCGGGTGTTTGCCGGTCTTTTAAAAAGTAGTGGGCTATTTTCTAGAAGGTTTCAAATCTCTTAAATCATATAGGTTCGGAAAAATTACTGGCTACAGTAATGTGAAAGGAATTTAGAATTACGTCGAAATACAAAATGATTGAATTACTTAAAATACTTTTAAGTAATACAATTTTTGTATTAGGCTAAGTTACCGTAATAAATTATTTGTATTGTGTTGCATTGTATGATCGTAAAATATAGCAGAACAAATTCTCGAAGCATTCAACTCAATATGCAAAAACACACGAATATATAGTAAAAAATTAATTCTGTAAGTACTAGGAACACACCTAAGCAAGTAGTGCTAGTTACTCCACAGGAAGAATTATTTATTCAAGGGTATTAAATGGATAATAACCCCACATAATATGATTTGTATAATTCGTGTATTTCTAATATGCTGTGATTAGGCAAGCCAAGTTTTAACGTGTTACTCGTAAAGCCACACTCGATGTATATAAAGGCCACTTGAAAGACACGCTGGAGCTACGTATTTATAGGTATCATAGTTGCAATATGAATAGGAAGTTTCGACCGGGGAATGACCACGCTTTCACAGAATACTGCTGTGTTTCGTCGTATGGTGAATGTAGAGAACCGGAACCCTATAATATACAGATAACGAGCATTCTATGTTAGTCCTCTGTTTTGATAGATAATCTAACAAATATGTAGGTGTCTAAGTAGGTGTCCCCCCTCGAACGGGTTCTCGCCTTATCGTTGCGGGGTGAGGGTTGGGGGGAGGGGGGATTAGTAGACATAGCTTGGTCACCCATGGTGTATTAAGAGCAACTCACAGGTTTGTCTCGAGGAGTTACCACTCCGAGTGGGCTTTGCGAGCCCACTTCGCATATGTATTGGTGGGCTGCAGCTGTGGTGGAGTTACGGCGGAAGAGAAGTGCTGATGTTGCGAGGCATCGCTTTACCTACCCTCCCTGTTCAAATTTGGTTGGATATCGGAGCCACATACCAGATCCACCACTGATGGCAGGAAAGCTAGTGCTTTTTAGAAGACGTGGAGGGAGGCGCGCCTTGTGTTCCTGGTGCAACTTACCCGAGAAGGAGAAGAAGTAGTAGAAGTCCTCTTCCAAGGATGGGCTACAATGGGGAAGCCGGTGCTGGTAAGGCCGGAGATGGGAGCGAAAGCGGTCTCGTGGCCCTGCTAATAAGCGCCAAAGGTAGAACACCATGGGATTGTAGTCAGTGCGAATTCGACATAAACCATCCTTGTCTCCGCGAGGCGGGTATGCGTAGGCATATCGTACAAAAAGTATTTAAGGATCACAGCACTCATTTACTATCAAGTGTGTTAAATGTATTGTGTGTGCGTGTGTGCCCGTTTATTACCTGTGTTATATAAAAATAATTTATTGTATGACATAATATAAGATTGTAAACTTTTCTTTTTAATAAATTATAATCACCCTAAGATTTTTGTTGGCAGAATATAGGTTTTTTCATAGACATATATATATACTGTAGAATTAAGTCTATCGGTTTTTTTTTTAAATTATTTCTCCGTAAATGCTGCTTAAGTGAAAGTTATATATGTAGGCTTTATTGGAAGTGGAAAGGTCTCAGCCCAAAAATTAGAACAGTATTACATGCAAAGCATTAACGTCAGATTACGCTGTATGAGCAAAAATCTTTTGCCTCTAATTTAATTTAAAAAAATCAATTTTGTTGATGTTTTACTTTTTGTTTGTTTGAAAACGGAGGTTATAAATTATAATTTTTAAAAGAATGAAAATTTTATATGCATTTCTTTAAAAAGCATATGAAACATGAACGTTTTTTAAATTTTCGGATTTGTAAATTTGTGTGACTTGATATCTGTGGTGTAAATGGTCATTTTTTTATGAGGAATTTTGCGACACGAGTAAAATGGGTGTTACGGTGTAAGAACCTATAATATACACAAATTAATCTTAACTTTTTTCGGAACTTTAAACGTGAAATTGTTTGCTTTTAGTTTACAGCAATATCCAGTTCCTGAAAACAAAACGGGTACCTATGTTATTGAATTACTTACAAAGCGTATCCTGGCACTAGGAGCAACTCAGCAAGGACAGTTTTTAGTGGATTGTGAGAGTTATTTATCACATCCTCAAATGGGTAAGTTACTAATAAGTACTGTGTTGTTTCTTGCATAGTAGCCTCTTACTGGAAAGCAAAGTATATGGTGGCCCCCACTAGATGGAGTAATATGTTTATCAGTGAACTTGTGAAGGGATATAATTATGATGATGAGTTTTATGGTCATGAGCTCTGATGTTTTTAAGAAATACGGACATAAAATTGATTTCTTTACCGTATGCCCAATTTTCGTCACATTTGAAAACCACATATGATAAACGAAATGACCATTTATATTTATGTAAACGAACTCAGAAATTCATATTAAATATTTGGTATAGTGTAAATCAAGTTATCAATAATATTTATTTGACATGCGGGTGGTGGTGGTGGCATAAGAGAATCATAAGAGAATCAAGAATCATCATCATTGCTGTTGTCTGTAGAAATACCAGAAAATATTTACATGGTAAAGCTATGCTGCAGCTATAATTATGGTTGTAAGCACTAATGGGTCAGCTCGACCAGTGTAGGACCATGCTTTCACAGAATAACAGCATAAAATAGCAGCTTAATGCTGCTGAGTTTTGTATCCTGAGTGTAGAGAACCAGTCACACTTTTTACTGGAAATGAGGCATTCCATTTTAGTCATTAGCATTTTGATTCTTAATAGAGTAAATGTAGATGTCTATGGGCCCCACCATCAACTTACCATAAGGTGGAATATGTGCTCACTTGTCACCTTTATTCTATAAAAAAACACCAATCCCAAAAGATGACATTACAACCATTTCATAACCTTACATAAAATATATTGGTAACAGTCAGCAGTGTAAAGGTTCAATGGGTCTGGTATTGCTATTGTTGTCCTGTCCTGACAAGTGTGTCAATTATGACAACTTCTGCTTACAATATGAGAAACTGATGTCCAGAAATCAAAATTATACTGACTGATAAAGAAAGATGAACTATTTTGTGTGAATTGGTTAGCGAAAGTAACCTACTGAAGTAAACTCATTATACTTAGATAACTTGGTAATTAATTTAGTTTCATAGTTGAAACTATTCAAAATATAAAAATTTTACTAGAAATACATAATAATTTGTCTTCAACTGACTTCAAAAAAAGGAGGAAGTACTCAATTTGACTGTATGCTTTTTTTATGTGTGTTGATACTTCATAACTTTTTTCTTGTTGAACCAATTTTGAAGATTCTTTTTTTATTTGAAAGCTGGTGCTTTTCATGTGTTCCCATATAAATTTGATCAAGGTCTGACTTAATGTTTTTGAGTTATCCTTAATAATTTATTTTGAAGTTGGTTGTACAAAATTTTAATTTAAGAATATAGGCTCACTGAAGGTTGTATATTATGCATATGTACGTAGTCTGCTAGAATACGCTAGTCCGATTTGGTCCCCTCAATACAAGGTCTATAAAGAACGCCTCGAGCGCATACAAAAAATATTTCTAAGACATATCTCGTACCGGTGTCGTCGGTCGCACGAATCATATACTCGAGCCTGTCACGAAAATAACCTATTAACTTTGGAAGAAAGACGGGATACACTAGATGTCTGCTTCCTATTTGATATTGTTCGGAACAGAGTAGACTGTTCAGAACTGTTGCATAAAGTAGCATTCTGCGCTCATAGGCGTCAAACACGTCACACACCGCTATTCAATGTGCCTCAACGTCGCACTAACTACGGTTCGAATACTATCATGGTTAGGTTACCTCAAACATATAATACAAAGTTTAGCCAGGTTGACTTATTTCGCTCAAGCAAGTTAACTTTCAAAAAGAAGGTGACAGACATCATCATAAACTCTCACAAATTTTAAGTGCTATAAACAAAAGTTGTACTTTAACCTTTACTTTTCTTCTTTGTCTTTGCCTTCTATCATTATCTCTGTCTACGTCTATAATGGGTGGTACTTATATATTACTTTCACAAACATGTATATTGTATTTCTTTACCTGATTTGTTTTGTGTGGTGTACAGTTTAGCTTAGTATCTACTTAACTATCTATAATATTGATAGGTTTAAGCGGATGGCATCCTTGAATTCCTTAGTATATTTATAGAGTTAATTTTAGCACTTACAAAGTTTGATTGTTACAGTGCCATTTGTTAATTTAAGGGAAACCTGTTATTGGCAATACTACTTTACACATAGTTATAAGATATACAATTTGTAAAGCTTTTCTTAATAAATTAAAGGTTTTCTTAATAAAATAAAATAAAATAAATTACCACTTCTACTGAAAGCAAATAAGTCAATGTATTTATTTACTGATCTTTATATCACAGAATACCCGCATATATACCCGCAAATAGCAGCATAATGTTGCTGTGTTTCTTAAGAAGACTTTAGAGAACCGAAGACCCTTTTAACTGGTAACAAGGCATTCTATCTTAGTCCTCATCAGGGTGGCATCTACACTTTTATTAATCAAGAACATTTGTAGATGTCTATGGGCCACATCATTAGTTTGCCATCATACAAACTGTGTGCTTGTTTCACACCTTTATGGTATAAATAAAAAAAGAAGCCACAAGGGTCAATATGAAATGCCCATTATGACTCTTCCCATTAAGAGTAGGACTAAGCAATACTTGTCAGTTTACATTCAACCCTTGCTGATCATATAAGCTAAATACTCGTGCCAAGTTCTACGTTCTTCTTCCAATTTTCAAGCTTAAAGTATGATCTTATTTTTAGCCGTAAAAGCCTTATCAAATCACATCAACCTTTGAAAATAGCCCTTGAATTACATTGCATAAGTTATGGATTGTATACTTGCAGCTTCCTCACTATATGGCCAGCTATGAAAACGATGTAAAATTTGAAATATCTTTAGTTACTTGAAACAAATAATTATAAGTAACTTATTTTACTTTTCAGGGACAACAAAAACGGTCCACATCCTTCATAACTCAGAACAGCCTGCCTCAGTGTTCTCAATTTTAGAAAGTGGCACAAAAAACATTCATGTTATAGCTGATGGATTATTTGACCTGCTTATGATGAAGCTATCACAGCATTACACATCAAAGAAGCAGACTAAAATTGAGAGTAAAGGTCCCAGGTTTGAGCTGGGAGACTTTTGTGTTAAATTAGGCTCGGTGACAATGAATCAGAACTTCAAGGGAATACTTATTGAGGTGAGCTTGCATGATTAAATTTTTAAACTACTTTTTTGCTTTGACGGTTTTAAGAAAGAACCAGTTATGATTCTATGAATGATGTTATCTAAAAAATCCTTGCTGCTTCTTCCGTGTCTTAAAGGCAAGAGTGAATAGAATTTTGTGAAGCTAAGTCATTGCACTTTACCACCTTTACCTCACTTAAAATCAGATGGGATAGTAATTAAGCACTTGCATTAAGTTTTTTTACATACATACTGTGTAAGAGTATTACCATGTAGTGGCGGTGTAAGAATATCCACTACCCCATTTCATCCCGTGGATATTGTAAGTGGCGACAGAGGCACAGAAACAGTGGTAAAGCTGCTGTTGCACGGATGGGCTGACTCGAACTGGGGAAATACCACTACCTTACAGAATACCAGCATGCAGTAGGAGCTTTGTTTCTGAATTTCGCTTGGTTAGTGCAAATACAAGGAGCCGAAGCCATAACATGGTAGTTGAATTTAAAAATAAAAGACTACCCCAGGAGGGTACCAGCACCCCTTGGTAATGGAGAATAAGCATCCACGCCCTAGCTACGCCCCTCTTCATGAGCGTGGGTGCTCACGCTGCCCCGCTCGCTACTAAGGGTGTTACCACACCAATCGATTGATTGCAGATATATGTCGATCGATTGGTGTGGTATCTCACAGAAAACCAGCGTAAAATAGCAGCTTAACGCTGCTGTGTTTCGTATGGTGAGTGTAGAGAACCGGAGACCCTTTTTACAGGCCTTTTTAAAAAAATTAAAAAAAAAAATCTTTAGCTGATCGACAGACACTGATCAATAAAACATTGTTAAATCATGGATAAACATCGATTGACAGTTAATCAATGTGGTTGTGGACTCATTATCAGTATTTTTGAAAATGTATTCAGAAGAGAACATATTATTGCTAGCTAGTATGCTTTTGCTCTTATTATTATTATGGAGACGCAAAACGCAGAAGACTGGATGCGACCGTTTTTTAAAGCCAGAAATCGGTTATTTCATCTACACGACATTTTAAATAGCGGTCAGTGGAGCGGTGCGGATTCTCAAATAATTAAACTGCTTGACATCAATAATCCATGCTAACATCGATCAATCGCTGTGGTAGAATCTATCGATCAACGACGACTAATCCATTCCACCATTGATCAATGCAGTGATAGTGTGGTAACATCTCGATACTGCAAGGGGAAACAGAGCGGTAAAATTATGGCGACCTTTGCCAAGCTTGCAGTGGACTTCTGCAACATAAGGGGACTTCACACAAACCTTAACGCCGTCTATTACCATATGGAGACGGCAAAGCTGGTTCTGCTCTTATTGACCGAGACGCAGGTGTCTTCTACGGCGGACACTTTGCACCTGTCCTACCCAGGGTACAAATTAGAATTTAACTTCTTTGTGCCCCGGGCTGCAGTTTGCGTATAAGTCAGAGAGGATACTGTTCTCGACGCCTCGGCAGTCTTCTCACCGAGCTCATCGACCATGTCCGAATGGCTACAGATTCCTTGCTACAACAGATCCCATCCACAGAGACCGTAATACTTGGCGATTTTAAGGCCCACCACGCCAAATGACAAAGTTTACGTTTAACCGATCATGCCGGGAGATCTGTTTATGACTTTGCCTTGGCATATGGTCTAACACAACTGGTTACTTCGCCTACGCGGATTCCAAATATGGAGGATCATGTACCTTTCCTGTTGGACCTTATGCTGTCCTCTCATCCGGACCGATATAAGGTTTCCGTCGACGCCCCTCTCGGCTCTTGGGACCATTGTCTGATTCAGAGTGTGGTGCCACTCGCTCTCCCTTCGCGGTTGCGTTGTGCACGCTGCCACCGTATTTGGCATTTTAATATACGGGGTGGCGATAAAGTTATCACATTCAATGAAAAGACTTATCCTATATAACGTTCTTTGAACATACTTAACTAAAAAAATATATAACAATTAACACTCTAGTCGCAATAGCCCTTTTTTCGTTTTTTGCCTATTTACTTATAAACGGGAAAGTGTAGGTAAATAACTACTTATGTCGATGCCGCGTGAGCACTGCCTACCTGCCGCACTGTTGCCGCTTTTACATGTTCTTCTGGTCAGTACACTAATATTATCAAGGTGATGTATTTCATATCAATTTTTATGCTATTTATTTTGTTTGAAAAATGCATTTTATTATTTTTGGTAGAATTGTTTATTTCATTATTTTAATCGACATAATTATATGAACTTGTATATACCACTGTGTTATTTAATGTGATAACCTAATCGCCACCCAGTATACTGCAAATATTCACTGTTCCAATCTACTGCTGGACACTGTCTTCTCACTTAATCTTATATTCGGCGTCAGTTAGTTGATCTTGTGCCATAAAGCAATGAGTTTTTCCACATTATTTTTGTCTACACATTTTTCTTTTTTTTTTATAGAATGGGGTGACAAACGAGCACACAGTCCACCTGATGGTAAGTGGTTGCTGTGGCCCATAGACATCTACATATACCTTCGATTAAGAATCTAAATGCAGATGCGTTGTCACCCCTGAGGACTAAGATGGAATGCCTGGTTTCCAGGTAAAAGGGTCTCCCGTTCTCTACACTCACCATACGAAACACAGCAGCGTTAAGCTGCTATTTGACGCTGGTATTCTGTGAGAGTGTGGTCCTCCCCCAGTCGAGCCCAACACATTCGTGGTACAATCATAATATAGCTGCAGCTCTGTCGCGTAAAGACTATTCTGACTACTGTTACTTTTGTGGGGATAAGAGGAGCCCATTGAGATTCAGTTAAGAAATACGGAAAACAAACTATTAGCCTAACAACTTTGCGACTATTATTCCCCTAAATAAAAACAAAGCGGTCCTTCGGGCCATTGCTTGATTTTGATTCACAGAGTGGATTAGGAACCGTATTTAAATGGTTTTTCTTTATGAAGTTATATTATTTGCAGGTGGAATATCGACCATGCGTAATGGCAAATGCAGTATGGGGCCTTCTCCGTGAATTCCTACAGGGTCTTTTGGGCCCATCAGTGCCTGTTCAACCTCCACAACATTTACTCAGTAGGATGAATGAGATATATACACCAATAGACACAATATATCAGTATTTAGAACATTTTAGTGCTTATAGAAAAATAACTGGACTGAGAAGTGCGTAATCAATTATGTGACTGATATTTTAAGGAGTTTGAATTACGAACACGTTTCATGTTTAGTGGTATGTGAAGCAAAGTGATCCTTTATTTTGCACACACAAATATTTATTCAGAGCCTATATTACGTCAACTACAGCGCATGTCCCAAGAGTATACGTAAAAAATATACATAAGAACTATCATAGAAGGAAATATCATACTCATTTAAATATTTTGTTCATTTCATACATCATTTATTCAATGAAAATAATTATATAATAAAACCCTAATGGGCTGGCTATGCTGTAGTAGTGTCAAGACTTAGGAAACACGGTGCTAAGTAAATAAGAAGTAACAGCTTGTAAGTTTTTATGATAATGTAACTATTGTTGCCTTTTCTGTAACCTTGTGTATTCAATGCTAAGTCAAGGAATATCAAATAAAAAAACAGTTTTATTTGCTCTGAAAGTTCAACAGTGTAGGGCGAATGTTAGGAGAGGAGTTAAACAAACGAATGATGATACAAGACTCTCTTTATTGTATTAATAAATTTGATTATATAGGATTATTATTACACTTGTGTGTGTACTTTTATATACCCTTACTACTACTACTACACCTTCCATCCAAAAGAAAAAAAATGTGTCAATACAAGGATACATTTTTTTTGATACATTAAAAGATTTTATTTTCGTAAATATTAGGAACAGTTACATTATAAAATAATATATAAGGTATTTATTTTCAGAACATTTTTTTTTTCTTTTTTTTATGATTATTTAATTTAGAATATTTATAATTACGTAATATTAAGTAATCTACAGACAGAAATAATAATAATAACAATAAATGTACTTAGATTCAGCATATAAAATATGTTTTATTTATTATTGGATATACAATTTCGTGCGGTTTTTATGTACTAATTCATTTTTACCATTTTTAATTATTTCTACGTTTGGTGTTACATCTTTAACAACTTTATAAGGACCAGAGTATAGATCACTTAGTTTATTACCTGACTCATTTTTTAAGAGTACTAAATCATTTACATTGTATTTTATAGGCTTGGTATATTTATCAAATATAATTTTTCTCTTTTCTTTAGACTTTATCAAATTATTTCTTGCCTCTCTTTGTGACAATTGTAACCTGTATTTGAGCTCACATGGATAATGATCGTAGTTATAAAGTGGCTCTAAATCTACTGTCAAATTACTAGGAAGTGAACATTTTTTACCAAAGACAAGTTCATAAGGACTGAATTTCGTCTCTGTATGAACTGTCGTATTATAGGCAAACGACCAAAATGGTAACCAGTCGCTCCATGTTTCAGGGTGATTATCAATTTGAATGCAAAGAAAAGCATTTAAATTTTTATGTGACACTTCCAACGCACCTAGTGATTGGTGGTGGTAAGCAGTCGAATTTAATTGTTTTATTTGAAGCAATTTACATACCTCTTGGAATAATGATGCGGTGAACTCTTTCCCTCTGTCCGTAGTTATTACTTTCGGTACTCCATACCTAAGAATAAAGTTAGTGACCAAACTCTTTGCTACTTCGTTGGTTTTTTTAGAAATTAAGGGATATGCTTCGACATACTTAGTGAGTTCGCATTGTAGCGTTAAAGCATAAGAGTAATTATTATTATCAATTTCAAATGGACCTACTAGGTCTAAATATATCTTTTCAAACGCTGTATTAGCTGTCGTTGTTATTTCTAGTGGCTCTCTTACGGGTAACGAAAATTTCTGACGCTGACATTTGTCACAACGCCTAACAAAATTCTTTACATCCTTATCTAACCCAGGCCAATAATAATACTTTTTTATATTGTTGACCATCCTTCTCATACCTGCATGGCCACTGCTAGGTAGGAGATGGAAGTCATTTAATATCACCTTTCTGTCATCCTTATTATATATCGTTTTTACATTATTTATTATATGTACACGTGGACCGGTCCTATCATTCATAGATTTGATTTCTTCAACTAGTTTTTTAATAAATTCCTTATTACCATCCTTCTTTATTATATATACTTCATTAACATTTATTAACTTACAAAAATCATCTAATTCCCTCACAAACTCGCGTCGCGTCATTCGTGAGTCGGAACTTAGATATTTAATATAAATTATCTTTTCCTTTTCAACATAACAAAATGTATTATTTTCTTTACTAATGACTCTTAATTTTCTCAATGTTTTCAAATCATCTTTATTAACCACACGCAACTCCACTGATTCTGCTGGTTTGACATGATTACTTACGACTTTCGGTTGATCAGGCCTCAAGTCTGTGGGTATTATGTCCAACGAGGAGGATCCTGGCTTATTTATTTTTCGACATTTTGCTCGTGTCATGACACTAACGATGTTCTCATTTAATTCTTTTAACTCTTTGGAACTCAAACAGATTCTAGATAACGCATCTGCAGCTGCATTATCTGAACCCTTTACATACTCTACGTCAAAATTATATTCCTCTAATACCAACCGAAACTTCATAAGCCTGCTCGATGGATCTCTCATGCCAAATAGGTATACTAGAGGTTTATGGTCAGTCCTGATTTTAAAATATTGCCCATACAGGTACGGTCTGAAATGTTTCACGGCCCATACTATCGCTAACAACTCTTTTTCTATAACTGGATAGTTTAATTCAGCCTTATTTAGAGATCTGCTAGTAAAAGCTATAGGTCTTCCATTTTTATTCGACAGAACTGCTCCAATTGCTTTATTAGATGCATCGGTTTGTAAAATGAAATAATTTTCTTTTGAAAAATCAGGGTAATCTAAGACATAATACGTTTTTTGAGTGTTTCAAAAGACTTTTGACATTTTTCAGTCCAAACAAAATTAGTATTTTTCCTACAAAGTTGGTTTAATGGTTGCGCAATTTCAGCAAACTTGGGTATAAACTTTCTATAATAATTTGTGAACGCCACAAATCTTTTAACTTCGTCGGCATTCTGCGGACAAGGATAGTTTTTTACTGCATTTATTTTTTCAGGATCAGGTAAAATCCCTTCGTTAGATATACAATGTCCCAAATATAAAATCTGTTTTTTAAGAAATGTACATTTTGAAGGATTCAATTTTAAGTTTACTGAACGAAGTCTTTCGAAAACATCCTGTAAGTTTTTATTATGGTGGTCTAGTTGTCTACCAAAAACAATGACGTCATCTAAATAAATCAAGCATTTTTCATTATTTAGTCCTGACATTGCTAAATTCATCATTCGCGAGAAAGAACTGGGACTTGTTTTTAATCCCATGGGCATTCTCGTCATCTGGTATTGACCAGAATTGAAAGCAGTAAATTTTCGACAACTTTTATCTAAATTAACATTGTAATACCCTTGATATAAATCTAAATGTGTAAAATAGACACTTCCAGACAAAGATTCTAAAATTTCTGTAATATCAGGGAGGGGGTACTTATCGTCCTCTATACAGTTATTTAATTTACGGTAATCCACTACCAATCGCCATTTTTTATTACCCGATTCATCTAATTTTTTAGGCACCAATAATATTGGGCTAGACCAGTCGCTTTTACTAGGTTCTATAATCCCTTCTTTAAGCATGTTGCTAATTTGACGATTAATTTCCTTTTTCTGACTAATTGGTAACCTATAGGGTTTCGAAAACACTGGACTAACGTTTGATTTCAAAAAAATATTGTGAGTGTAAATATCTGTTGTTGTCAATTTATCGCCCTCTAAATAAAAAACATCTGCATATTTTGCACAAATATTTTGAATACTTTGACTTTCTAAGTCATTTAAATCATTTAATTTTAATGAGGAAAATAATCGTTTTACTCGGTCTGAATTATTCTCATTTTTCTCAAAACTACAAATATTATAATCGTTAAGATCATGAATTGCAGGATTTATTCCTGACAATGTTACTGATTTTTCGGTAACATTTAATATTTTTATTGGTATTTTTCCCCTAATTGGTGTCGCTATCGAGCTAGCCAAATAAACGCCATCTTGTAATTCTTGTGAACAAATAATGCAATCGGTTTGAAAATCAGTTTGAATATAATGTATGGATTCACTTCTTGAGGGAATTTCCAATACGTTAATATTATAATTATTAGTGAAAGGCAAGAAACAAGTGTGGCCTGACTCTAACTTCAAAGATAAAATATTTTTCTCGAAATCTAAACATGCTCCAAATCTATTCAAAAAGTCTCTACCTAGAATTCCATGCGACGAAATTGGTAACGAATTAAAAACAAAGAACTTGTGATTAATAACAGATCCATGAATCATTAATGGAACATAAACATATCCGATTGTTTGCACCTCGCCACCTAGACCGTTTATAATTACATTCTCTTTATGTAATGAAACACTTAATTCGATAGCATGTTTATATGTTACGGCGGATAAAGATGCGCCCGTGTCGACTAAGAAAGAATAAGTTTTATTGCACGATGAAACTGGTAAATGAATAAAACAATTGCTATTACTACTAGCCAAAATTAAATGATTTTGTTTATTCTCGAAAAAACTTATCTAGTTGGGGTTCATCTGAAGTTGATTTTTGGTTTTCATTAATTATATTGACTATATTTCTTTTTATCCCTTGATTTCTGCGATAATTACGAAACGTACCTCGATTATATCGTCCTCGCTGTCCTTGGCCACGTGAGTTCGAGTGGTTCCATGAACTCGATCGCTGCGAGTTTCCGTGGTAGTGTCCTCGCTGTGAAAATGTTTGCCGATTACGCCCGTTGCCGCGTGGGTACCTAGAGTTATAATGAAAATTCCTAGAATAATAAAATTTCTTACTGGACATACCCATCACCTCTCCTGCGGCCGATGATGATGAAGTCTCTTCATCTTGAGCTGCTTGAATGGCATCCTTCAGGGAGCTGTAATTTCTAGCAGATATTATTGTGCTGATTCGACGATTTCGTAAGCCATCGGAAAATTGCTTGATCGCTTGTTTTTCATTAACAGTTTTCAAAATATTGTAATATTCGGTATTACCGTTGGCTTGCGATATCGTAAGGTCCACAAATAACTCTGTTATTTGTTTTCCGTAATCAGCAATTGGCATATCATTTTGGCGTAATTTTTGCAATTTACTTTGAATTGCTGCTGCGCTTTTTCTTGGCAACAACTCTTTCTGCATGTCACTAACCAAGTCTTCAACATTAGAGTAATCGTCTTGAAGACGTAATTTAGCAGATTGAGATAATCTACTTTTTAATATGAATTTAATTAAATTATTTTTGCATTCCTGTTTTGTTAGCAAAGAATTATAATACTGAATATTGTCTACTAATTGTTTTACACTTGTCTCGTCATCTGACATAACAGGTAATAAAGTCAGAGCCGTTTTCAAATCGAAAGTATCCATATTGCTCGGATTTTCAGATTGTACACACTGGGGCTTACACAATTTTATAATATCCTGATATAATGATTCAAAATTCTTACAATAAGTTTGATAAGATGGAATATCAGTAGATTTAATCTTACCTTCCTTTACTTTACTATTAAAATTTATTAACAACTTAGAATAGTCACTAAATATTTCATTGGCCTCTTTAAGTTTAGTATTTAAAACTTTTCCTTCACGTCTACTCGGTCCAATTTTAATTAAATATGTTCTCACTTCTTTTAATTTCTCATATAATTGTTCTAAAGAAATATTCATAACTTACCACCAATACGTAGAATAGAGTATACTATACATAATTTTACGAAATATTTAATGTAATAATAATACGGTTAACTGACGATTAAAGACAGTACAACGAATATATGATTTAATTTAAAATATAAAGTTCGGTAATATAGACTAGAGTCCCAGATTTATGTAGTTGATTTATAAACACATTACCCTTTTTTTTTCACTATTAATAGACACGCACCTTTTTTACTCATTTTATATACACGTAAACTCCACTTTTAAACACTGATCAGCGCCGGTCATACTTTATAATACGCCCTTGGTTGACTTGCCTCTTCCACATTTGTGGAGGGTTGTGGTTGCCGAAAAATAGACCTTCTCAGGGTATTTATGTTTATCTCTGTGTTAATCCACTTTATATGACATCGCCTATATGTCCGATAGAAGCAATACAGGGACCCCAGTAGAAGTACTAGCACAATGATAGACAGCAAAATATTACTCGTAGTCAGGTGAAATTGTAATTGTTCAACTCCTGCCTTATTGCTTCCCACTGCGTTTTGCACAATTACGGTATCTTCTTTAGTCTGTTTACCGCCCATCTTGGATGTTATTTTTCGTTAACTTTTTGTTAAACACGTGTACACAGTCGCGCAGCTCAAGATAGAACGCCATAGCTTGATTTAGTTCATCAGTTGCACATAGAAAAAATGTTCCACTCCAAATACGGCGAAGGGTGTCATATTCGCGTCGCGAATTACTTCGGCAGGGTCGCCATGTAGGGCGAATGTTAGGAGAGGAGTTAAACAAACGAATGATGATACAAGACTCTCTTTATTGTATTAATAAATTTGATTATATAGGATTATTATTACACTTGTGTGTGTACTTTTATATACCCTTACTACTACTACTACAACAGGATGTCTGTATAATTTAATTTAATAAAACATTTTAAATTTTAAATAATTAATATTAATCTTGCAAACTGGGTTTAAAACTAAAAGAAATACCAATAGGTGAAAAATATACAGAATTTTCATAAAAATTGTCCATCATATTCACTCACTATCATAACGTTAGTATTAAATGGAATTAGGTGTAAACAAGGAGCAAATACAAAGAGGTTGTAATTAGATTTCACTATGTACCAACGCGTGACAATTTGCGGGGTGAGGGGGTGTTAAGCCCCGCCCACTTAACTATTTTCCATTTCCCGATAAATAGCAAAACTACTCGCATCGTTACATATCGATGTTGCAATGTAGTATAGCTACTTTGACGGTAGATGGCGACCTGTTCAGAAAATGATGTATATATAAAAATTACGTGTCACATTGTTTGTCCGCGATGGACTCCTAAACTACTGAACCGATTTCAAAGAAATTTTGCACACTGTGTGCAGTTCGGTCCAACTTGAGAGATAGGATAATTTTTATCCTGATAAGTGACACTCAATATTTTTTTATTACGAATTTAAGCATTTTTTATATGAAGGGTCGTCGGAAAGGGCAGAACAACGTCTGCTTGGCGAGCTAGTAAAACTATAAAAATAATATTTTGGCGATTAAAAATTGTTTAGGACTGAATGCAAAACAAATTTCAGCACCTTCGTATGATTATTTTACCAATACTGAGCTCTACGTACCTTTATATTTTTTAGTTCTCATGACAGAAAGTGTCGCCATCTAGTGTCGAATATATTTAATTATATTCGAAAACCGACGCAAAGAGATTTTTCTAGAACTATTTTAATAAATTAGGTATAAAATTACTTACAAATGAAATGTGATGCCATCCATAGCATCAGAACGTCTATCTGAGTAGTTTTTACACGATAAAACACAACACTTCATACTTTTCTACTTAATACTACGAAAATACACCGATATGCGATTTTGGACACATATGCGCACAGGACGAACGCTGCAGTATACTAATTAAAGCCACGCCCACAGTGATGACGTCAGGACCTAGTTAGAATCACATTGCACAGTTGCTTAGGCCGTCTCCTCTTTGTATTTGCTCCGTGGGTGTAAAACACAATATAAGATTCGTCATAGAAACTTCTGTTTAAAAGATACGCTCCTGCTTGTGCCAGGGTCGTCTCTACATAGTATAAAACCTTTGTTTTATACTAAGCTACTTTTCGCTTACCGCCGTCTGTACGCTTGATTTTTTAAACTACGGATTTTGATGCGGTTTTCATCAATAGACAGAATTATTCAAGAGGAAGGTTTATATATATAATACATGTTATATATTATATAATTCTTCGGTCCGTGTGTATGTGACTGAACTCCTAAACGGAGTGAACCGATTTTGATGAAATTTTGTGTGTGATTAAGTTGTTTAGAGAATGGTTTAGATTCACAATTAGACCCGGTAGACGGCGTTGTTGTTGAAATCAAGAAATCAACCGTGCGAAGCCAAGATCGTTAGTTTTTTATAAAATATAAATTTATTGCATCATTTTATATGATTTACATGCACAATGAGTCGCAAAGTCCCCAAAATAATGTGTAGTTGGTATCTACATTAGTTGACCAATGTGTGTTTAACAGTTCTTCGGCTCTCTTCCTCACCATACAAAATACAGCAGCATTATACTGCTATTTTACGATGTTATTCTTTGAGTGTTCGTTCCTTAGTTGAACTGGCCCATTTGTGTTGCAATCATAATACCTTGCCGCGTAACTGTACCACGTACGATCTTCCTCATTAAGTTGTGAACCACATAGCTATATATAACCATTGTCGACACAATGCACGACGTTATTGGCTTCCCTTAGCCTTCCTTCTTTAGTTTTGAATGGTCCTATTTGCCAGAATTCATCAATGTTACGCTTTTCTTCCCCCTGTATCAAATAATTCAAACAATTATGAACAAAATTCAAAACATTCATTCAGAAAATATACAAAATTTGACCTGCTCAAAGTTCAAAAACTTTATTAAACTAAGTTTGTATATAAAGCTGGACTCACAGTGCCATCATCTTTGAAAAATTGCGATTTAATTATAGTTTTTTTTTTGGTTTCTAATGAACGCTTATACACAAAACAGAGTCTCAGTATATATACAGAATATTACATTTTTTACTTTTTTAAATTATATGTACTTTTAGGACTATCCATAGTTTCATTTATCCATCTCTAATATAATTCATATAAAATATATCTAATATTTTGGAAAGAAACATTAATCACAGAAATCTGCTAAATATTTCACCTCATAAGTAGCGCCGCCCTAGTGGCAGAAATAGTTCGTGGATGCCCTCAATACCACCAGGTTAAATTGTAATCAAGCACTGACTTAAAAGTAAGTCAAGAAGTAAGTTAAGAAAGTAAGTAAAACGAGAATTCATGCAATACGGTGTTGGAGAGTTAGGACATACCTCCATTTCCATATTTACAGCATCCTCCGGCGCCAAAACGATGAAAGGCGTCGATTCAAAACTAAAAGCTAGTCCAAAGTATGAATACTTCGTCATTTCTCCCATGAACACATCCCAGGAGTAAACCTTGTCAGGGTCACTGCCCATATCTCTGATCTGGTTGGAAAGCACATCATAATAATATTTTAGTAAATCTTTGTAATATTTTTGTCTGAGCTCTCTATTTGTGCAAGCATAAATAAAGAATGCTAAATCCAATACCGGACTAGCACATCTCGTTAATTGAAAATCGATTATTTTCGCATCGACTGGACGATTATCCTGATATCGATATAAGAAATTGTTAGTCCAGGAATCGCCATGCGAGATGACACCGTTAGTGGTGTCTTTCACAGCTTTTATCATGTCTATATAACGTTCTGGTACCGCAAACTGTTTGATTTTCTCTACGTAGATCGAATTTGGATATTCCCTTTCTACTGCATCAATAGCTATGTTGCTGATACGGTGCCAGAATCGGCTGTACCAATTCCACAAACGTTCGTCATAGTACGTCTCGAATATTTCCTTGCTTACTCTATCAAATGCCTCAGGGTCTTGGTCTCTCATAGCGAAAGATATCGCATGATACTTAGCTAGAGTCTTCACAGTGACTAAACAGTGATCGAAATCTATTCCTTCCTGTCTTATAGCGCTACCAAAACTATCTAGGGATGCATCTTCGAGGCAAACTACGTCATTAACGCCGTCGCAATGCGCGAGAAACAATCGTGTATATTTGTCGAATGGCTCTTTCATATTTTTTTCTGATTGGAACTTGAGTAAAGCTGGCAACACACGTTCATAAAATGCGATCTCGTTTCTGAAGAACTCATCGCTTCTGAACGTTAATCGCCTACATGTATTCTTAGGTATTGTCTTTAGCACCACTTGCACGTGTTTACCGGCGCCGTCTTTTGTTCTGCCGAATATCTTAATTCGTATAACTTCACTTAAGTAGGAATCTCCTTTACCGGTGTCACTGACATACTGAAATTAAATACTTATGGTAATAATCTGAAAGTAATGTATTATTAAAATAATGTTATATTAAATGGCCGCGAGTTAGAATCCCGCACAGAACAATATTAATTTTATACGCGGTAAAGCCACGCCGCAGCTACATTATGGTTGTAGCATGAATGGGTCGGCTCGATTGGGGCTGAGACCACGATTGTACCTGCTATAAAAATGTTTATAAGATTTTATTTCACAGTTTTCTAGGCATGATTAATATCTCTAACTATGCCAAATTACAGATTTGTAACACCTAGGGTCTCTGAGTAATACTGCGGACGGACGAACATGACGAAACTATAAGGGTTCCTTGTTGTGTAACTACAGAACCCTAAAAAGGAAATGTAGGCGATTGCTTCCAAGACTTACAACTCTCTCTATCGCTCTCTATCTCATGATACGTCGATACGGAGCGGGCGGTATGAAACAGATAGCATTTTTGAAAATACCTACTTGCGCCACGTATCGGCACTTCACAATTCTCTTAACTCTGTTGCGTTTGGAATGATGACCGGCGAGAATCGAATACCCCTTATACCAGTAACGAGGCATTCCATTTTAGTCCTTAGTTTATCCTCGTGTAATTTATGTATATAAACTGTCTCCACGATACACAAGGAAATCCCAGGGGTTACTTAATTTTTTTAAATATAGAACTCACGGGAAGAAATGGGTGATGGAGTTTTTATATGGCTTATGCTATGATCACATGGGTAATATTAGGTCTTTACCTACGAAATTGCCGTTTTTATGAAACAAGTTAATATCGTATTTTTTTCTATATTTTTTATATCTATTACCCACCCATCCAATCGATGCATCTTTGACAACGCAGTGGCAGTTCATTGATGCCCTCTTGAAGAAATCAGCTGGACGGGAGGCAACAAATTCTTCAAAGGCACTTTGTATCGCCTCTCGGGTATTACATTTTTTTTCCCGCCAAAACGTTATCCAAATTCTGGAAAAAGTAGAAGTCTGTAGACGCAAGATATGGTGAATACGGACGGCTTCCAATCCCAGCTCTTGTAACTTGGAGACCGTCTGTTGTGCAGTATGTGGTCGCGCGTTGTCGTGCAGGAGCAGCGGAGACGAGCGATTGACCAAAGCTGGTTGGACGAGCGAGCTTCTCCATCATTGTGTTCAGTTCTTCACAGTACACGTCTGTAGTACTGCTCATGCCGTTTAGTAAGAAGCTGTGTTGAATCACACCGTTGCTAAACCACCAAGGAGTGACCATCACTTTTCTCGGGGTAAGTTTTCGTTTAGGGCATTGTTTAAGTGCTAAGCCAGGAGCCAAGCAACTGGCCGAGCGCTTACGATTGTCAAACAGAATCCATTTTTCGTCGTAGGTGCAATTGCGGTTCAAAATTCCTTCGTTTGTGTGCCTGTTGAGCAGTGCAAGGCACATCTCGACGCGTACGTCGCACTGGCGATCATTGATATCGTGGGGTATCTCTTTGTCAAACTTTTTACCTTGGCAATTTGACGCAAATGGACCAATATTACGAGATTTTGATGCTTACGTTGAAAGGTGCTGCTAATTCAGTAGTAGATTGAATATCATCAGCTTCCACAATCGTTTTTAATTCGTCATTGTCGACCAGTTTTCGTACGACCACGGGGTTCATTTTTCAGCTAAAAATTTCCAGAACAGAAGCCGGCAAGCCAATAACAGGGGATGCGTGCGTTTGTAGTATTCGCTCCCTAAACGTCGTTGAAGATGCGCGTCGCTTGTTTTTTTTATATTCTACGAAGCCAGCGCTTATCTACGATCCCACCTGATGGTAAGTGGTGATGTAGCCTAAGATGATGAAGCGCACTAACTTAACAAAAGCCTATTCACTATTGCCTTGAAGACACCCACACTGTATTCGGATGGAAAGACAGATGCTGGCAACTTATTCCACTCCTTTGCTGTACGCATGATGAACGACGTAGCGAACCGTTTGGTTCGAATGCGTAGTAAGTCAACAACGAAAGGGTGGACTGGCCGAACGTCTGGTTGTCCGATGGTGGAAGGGAGAGGGAGGAATTAAATTATGCAATTCCTGCGCACACTCTCCGAAATGCATATTGTAGAAAACCGAAAGGCTGGCTACTTTGCATCTGTGTTCGATGCTGGTAAGATTGGTTTTAACCAAATTCGGTTAACCAATAAGCCTCTTAGCACGCCTTTCCATTGATTCCAAAGCTGCTAGGTGGCATTTTGCAGTACCAGCCCATATTTGGCAGCAATACTCTATGTGCACGACCGGACTTGCGCTTTATATAAAGTGCACAGCTGTCCCGGCGTGAAGTATCGCCGCAACTTTGCGAGAACTCCCAGTAGTTTCCTTGCAGCTGCTTTGGCCTTGGACTCAATGAACCGCCCGAAGTTCTGATTTGAGGATATCTCAAACCCTAACAACTGAAGGTAGTCAGTATATTCGAGTGACATATTTCGGAAAGAAGGAGCCAAGGTGAGCTGGCTCCTTTTTGCAGTGAAGAAACACGCTTGTGTTTTGGAGGCGTTGAATTTCACAAGATTAGCATCGCCCTATTCGGAGACTGCCTGTAGTGTGAGATTCACACTTTCTACCATATGCTTGTGCCGTGTTACTGCCACGACGGCATTCATATTCTATAATTACTCGAATTTTTAACGTATCCATGATGACGAGAAAGATTCAAATGCGATGAAAACAAAAGTAATCAATAAAGAATGACTAATTTAGAAAAAGGAATTCCTTGTTTTTAAAATTAAATTAATTTGAAATTAGAATTCTTAGCCAAACAAAAATTATTTTTATTTGAAATTGCCAGTACTGCAGAACGGCAGTTTCATAGGTAAAAACCTATTATTAACCCTATTATAAATAATGAATAATAATTGTGCTACATACCTCCCAATGAGTGAAAGATATATCTTCTTTGAACCAGTCACTCAGAGACTTGCTGAGCTTCTCATTGGTGAGGGCTGGAGAAATATGTGTTAATGTTTTAAAATCATGATCAGTCTGCATGATATTAGTATCTGGAATAATAAATAAAGATAAAAATATATATATAACATCAAGTATAGAATGTGATAAAGCAGATAGGATCCGGTATAACTTTAAGGTGACAAACATTAAATTAATATGTATTAAGCATTAAAACAGACAAGTGAGTGTGGGGCACGTCGAAGGAGGCATATAGCAACACTTTATGGCACAGACTAAGTAAGCTTGTACTATGGACTCTAATGCGTATTGCAAACGACCAAGTGTCGGCGTCTCTTCTATTATGTAGGTAGTACATATTACTTCAATGGTGACAAATATAATTTATAATTTTTATTGCGGAAATGGTGGAACCAATTCATAATGTTCTTCAGGTCGAATCTTTGTATTGTTTTTATATAGAATAAGGCTCACAAATGAGCACACAGTCCACTTGATGGTAAGACTAATGTCTAAAACCGACTAGCTTAGCCGTAGTTTGTATCAAAACCCTTTAAACTGTCACCTTCATCTGAGTTTAAAATACAATAGGATTCTATCTTTTTTTTTGAAGAATAAGTTACCCCCAAGCGTACCGCAGTCTAGCCAAGACTTACGTGGTCGAGCAATGCTGCAGATATATAAGTAGTATAGTTGTATCATGAATGGGTCGGCACAACCAGGGAAGGACCACAATCTCACAGAATACCAGCGTAAAATGGCAGCTTAATGCTGCCGTCTTCCTATGGTGAGTGTAGAGAACCGGAGACCCATTTTACTGGAGAAGAGGCCTTCCTTCTTAGTCCTCACGAGTGACGACGCATCTGCATTTTGATTCTTTATTGAGGATAAATGTAGATATCTATGGGTCACAGCAACCACTTACCATCAGATGATCTGTGTGCTCGTTTGTCACCCTATCTTATAAAAAATGGTAGTGTGGAGTACCGGAAACCCCTTTCATTGGAAACGAGGTATTCCATCTTAGTCCTCATGGGTGGCAATGCATCTGCATTCTGATTCTTAATTGAGGACAATGTAGGTATCTATGGGCCACAGCCTGCACTTACCATCAGGTGGACTGTGTGCTCGTTTGTCACATCATAAAAAAAATCCTTACTGAATTTGCTCTTCTATATACCATAGGATTTTAAATATTAAAATAAAAACAATTAATAGGTTTATTGCAAAATAAATTAATTTACATAATTAAAGAAAAAACATTAATACAGAATAATAAAAAAATGAAGTTTGGTCTTGGTTGGGTAATACCTTTAGTACTCTTAAAACAAAACCTGAAGTGTCTAAGCAAATGTAAATCTTGTATCTACCCTTAAAGTAAAAGTCACAGCCTTCATACGTCCTACTGCTGGACAAAGTCCTCCCTCTCATTTCTGAGAGGGTTTAGGTCAAGAATTAGTCCACCACGAAGCCCCAATATGTGTTGTCGAACTTCAAATGTCTTCGATATATTTTTTTCTTATTTCTGAGACATGCAGATGTTTGTCCTCACAATGTTTTCCTTCACCGCTGAACATGTAGTAAATCAGCACTTAAAATTGTAATTAAGATTTCATTGTATCCAGGTTGCTGTGAAATTTACAGCAAGAGCTTAGTCCCTGAGCTACCACAGCTCATGTTGGTATAAATGAGAATATATTTTCTACTGACTTCAAAAGGAGGATGTACTCAATTCAACTGTATGTTCTTTTTTTATGTGTGTTCATAATTTTTTTTGCATGAACCAATTTCGATGATTCTTTTTTTATTTGAAAGCTGGTGCGTCTCATGTGGTCCCATATAAATTTGATCAAGATCTGACCAATAGTTTTTGAGTTATTCTTTATAATTTATATTGAATTCTGTTGTATACAATTTTTAATTTTATATTATTTGTATAGAAATTAGCAACAGAAATTGACAAGCATATTGCTTAGTTTAGTTTGCATAGATTGGCAAAGTTAGGCCCTGTCTGTCACTCGTTATTAGGCTATATATATTAGATTAAATGAAATAATTTTAGAGGGTGTTTATAAGTAATTAAATTAAGGCTTAGTATAGTCTCTCTCTCTCTCTCTCTCTCTCTCTCTCTCTCTATATATATATATATATATATATATATATATATTTTGTTCATCAGTATCCAGCAGTGAAACATGCGAAGTCGATAAAAAATAACAAACCTAATTAATACACCTCAATTACATTTACCTAACGAATCAAAAGTTTATCAATGAAAAGTAAACAAAGATACTGCGAAGATATAACAGGGCAAATCTTATAAGTAATTGCATACTTAATTAACTAGCTTTCTTTTTATATCAATAAGATATCTTTGATATCATACATTTCGAACAAAACAAACCATAAAGCCTTTGATTATATACATGTCAAATTACGCCAGTTTCTGTGTCAAAACATTTCATGTTTATCTTGTTTTCATTTTGAAATGAGAAATGTAGTAGGTACAAGGTCTTTTCATTACAATATAAGTACTCAATTTATTAGTCTTATTGAAATAATATTATTACCTAACACTGTAAACAGTAACCTATTAGTTAAAAACCAAAATAATATAAATCTGATTGGAATGTCATATGACAATTTCGAGCACGAGAAATCGAGAAATGACAATGACAAATAGGCTTGGGCAAAAAATATCGATATACCGAAATATCGTGATTTTAAATATCGATATTTTGAAATTGCGATATTTCGATTAATCGGTATATATTTTAGAGTATCGAATTCGTATCAATTTCGATATATTTTAAAACCTTATAGCAACTAACTTACCAATTTACTTTTGTACCAAGAAAATGAGGTACAAAAGTGTTCATGTGTGGTTGGTTGTCGTTTTTTTTTTCATCGTCCACCCTGCAGCAATATAAAATTTTGGACCTTTTCTTTACATCATGCAAATGATGACGATATATCGATATGTATCACACGACATATATCGATACTGTATAAAAATATCGATTTGATATATATCGATATATTTTTTCGCTTGACCATCCCTAATGACAAATGAGACTGACATAACCATAACCATAAAGAAAATTTGTTTCATCCTGCTGTTCGTTCGGAACTTGACCAAATTGTACTTTATCCAAGGTTCAGAATTTCGGAAAAAAATATCGTGGTAGAAAAGTGAACTAACATTTAGATTTTAAACTTTTGCTACAAAAACATGGAGTAAGAGCAGGCATAAATGATTATTTATTTTATAGCAGTAAATTCTTTAAGTATAATTCAAAGAGACTCCAACACCCACATATCCTACATTGTTTTCCTTTCCAAAACAATTTCACTCTACTTATGATATTGTTTGAAATAACAATAACAATAAGTTGTTACGATGCTGAGCCGTGGATTAGAATCCCACTCGAGACTAGTGTTTTTTTTTTGATTTTTCACCAGAGATTACACCATCCCTAGTGGCCGTTTATTAACTAATGTTACACATTTTTAATATAGTTTTTCTTAACAAGTGCAAGATTATTCTACAAAGACGGCTAATTACAAACAGCACTGCGATTTGATACAGTGGTGTTGGTTTGACCCTACGAGTAAATAATTATAAAATTACGAGTTTCTGTACTATTTACAAATTCTTATTATATGCACTGTATATACTACTAGAAAAATTTAACATTTTAAGATTATTAAAGAAAATGTTGTAAATATAAAATCATTAAAACGAAAGAAAACTCTTAATTAGTGACATTTGTCTGGATACTAGTTGATATAAAGTAATGAAATTACTGACAAAATCAAACTTGAATTGTAATAGGTATCATAAAATTAAAAGTTTTATCTATATTATGCCTAAGTAAATTTTTTAAGTATGTATACAATTGTTTTAACAAATTTAACAAAGAGTTCAGGGTTGATTCTTTCTTAATGATTTCGGCTATTTTAAAGTGAGACACACCGGCAATGCTGCAGATTAATTCATTATCATTTCTCACGGCACTAAACGCGAGACATTGTTGGAGTAGATGTTCAATAGTTTGCGTAGCTGAATAGACGCAAGGGCATTTGTCATCCGCGGTGATTTTAAATCTGAACAAATAGCTTTTATGGTATCCGTGGCCGGTGAGTATCTGAGTCAAGTGAAAACTCATATTGGTAGCCGCTCTAAGTTCCTGTATGAGATCCAGTGTCGGTAATAATTCTCTGGTATGTTTACCTGTTTCAGAGCTCTCATAACTGGTTTGCCAAATAGTGTGCGTCTCAATTTTAATTCTGTGTTTTATGTAAGACGTAGGTGTTGCGAAGTAGTCAGGTGCCTTGTGTGCTTTGGCTCCTGCTTTAGCCGCGATATCTGCCGCCTCATTGCCAGCTATGCCAGTATGGCTCTTAACCCAGGCAAAGTCGATGGTGCCAAAACATTTGTGTCGGTGAATAGTGTGGTGAATCTTGTTAACAATTCGGTGTGTATTGGATCTGTCTTGTATGGAATGTAGGGCTGAAAGAGAGTCCGTGTAAATTACTGTATGCGAGCACCGCTTATCAGCTGCCCATTCACAAGCCTTAAGGATTGCAAACAGTTCGGCCTGGAATACAGTGCACGTTGAGTGGAGTTTATATTTCTTTATAGCTTCTATTGAGCTTTCTGTATGTGCGTAGTTGTGTGTTTGAGTGGTTTTGTCTGTGTGTCGTGTGGAATGGTAACAGACAAAAGCAGCGCCAACTGCTCCGTCTTCCAATTTGCTGCCATCTGTGAAAATTTTTGTTGTCTCAAGTCCAACAAGAGCATCAACTTCCGCCTGTGAAGTGGTGAGATTAGGATTGATTTTAATTCTCTCTGCTGGGTGTAGTGATTTGTGTATGGGTGTGGGTTTCTCTAAAGGAAGATCGCTGGGTATGTAATGAGAAGTGCCTGTAAGTCTGGACTTTTCAATATTGTGGACTTGCCTTACCTTAAAATCTAGGGGTATCAGATCAGCGAGAGCTATGGCCCCAGACGTAGATACTGTGCGGAAGCCTCTTATTGCTTTAATAGCAAAGCCACGCTGTACACCCTCAAGGCTCCT